AGGGGGCTGAGGAGTGGAAGAGGTGCTCCACTTGGGAAAGACATTCCAGAATGCGGGGGCCCAGTGGGAAGCCACTCACACACTGCACACCAGACTTTCCTACTATCAAGCCATGCCCCGCTGCTTCCAAAAGATCTTTGAGAAGGTAAATCAATGAATCAGCCCCTGGGCACCTGCAGTTTCTCATATCAAGAAAACCACTTGTCAATCCATTTTCACACCTCAAGGTGATGATTTCGAGAAGTGCATAAATTTTTTTGCTTTGATTTTACAGTATTAGGCTGTTTTGTTCCTGCAAGTCAGCTGAGACTTTTTAAAAAATGGGTTTTTTGGAAATACCAATTGTAGAGTCAAAGGAAGTTGCAAAGAAATGTAAAGGGAGGTCCCGCATACCCGTCACTGAGTTCTTCCAGTGATTACATCTTACGTAACTGTAGTACAATATCAAAACCATGAATGTGACATTTGTACGATGTGTGTGTAGAGTTCTAGCATTTTATCATATGTGTAGATTTCTGTAATTACCATGCAATCAAGATACAGAACGATTTCATCATCACAAAGATCTCTCTCGTGCTATTCCTTCACACCTGCCCCACTCCCCTCCACAACCCCTACACTCTGGGCATCACTAATCTGTCTTCCATCTCTATAATTTTGTAATTTCAAGGACATTATATAAATGGAATCATATAGTGTGTGGCCTTTTGTGATTACCTTCTTTTCACACAGCATAATGCCATTGAAATCCATTCAAGTTGTTGCAGATATCAATAGTTTGTTCCCTTTTTATTGTTGAAAAGTTTCCATGGAGTGGCTTTACTATGATTTGTTTAACCATTTACCTAACATAGGATGCTTTGATTATTTCCAGTTACAGGCTATTACAAATAAAGCTGCTATGAACGTTCTTTTTTTTTCCGTAATGAATTTTGTTTATTGAGATACAGTCATGCTATGAACATTCTTATATAGGTTTTTTGTGCAGACATGTTTTCATTTCTCTGGAATAAATGTCCAGGGATATAATTGCTGGGTTGTATGGTAAGTGTATGCTTAGTTTTTTTGTTTTTTAAAATTTTTTTTGGTGGGGGAGGTAATTAGGTTTATTTGTTTATTTTTTAAATGGAGGTACTGGGGATGGGCAATATTACTGAGCCATAAAAAGGAATAAAGTACAGATACATGCTACAACATGGATGAACTTTGAAAACTATTCTAAGTGAAAGGAGCAGGACACAAAAGGCCACATTCCCATTTATAGGAAATGTGCAGAATGGGCAAATCCATAGGGACAGAAAGTAGACTAGCAGTTGCCAAGGGCAGGAGGGAGGGGGAATAGGGACTGACTGCTAATAGGTACAGGTTTCTTTGGGGTAATGAATATGTTCTGGAATTAGATAATGGTGATGGTTGCACAACTCTGTGAATATACTCAAAACCAACAAATTATATACCTAGAGCTTGTTCAAAGTCTCCTAGAGAGAGAATATGGATGGAGGAAAATATTAGGGCTGAGCCTAGGGCTCCCCTTCACTTGTCAATCATGCTTTGCAATGGAAAAGTTACTAGATCTGGCCAGTGAGACTGGAGGGGGTTTCTCTTGGGGGTTTTCTGGGAAAGTCTTCTTAGCTTTTAAAATAGGACACAAGATGGGGATGTTTCCTCTTTTTTGGCTCTGAACATTGTCATATGCATCACATACTCAGAATTGAGTCTGCCATCTTGAGTCATGAGGGAAGCTAGCCAAAAGGAGGAGCCAACTTGCTGATGGTGGCAGAGCAGACTTGGGTCCTTGTCGATGTCACTCCACTGAATTAACCAATCCTGAAATGGCTTTACCTCTGGACTTCTTATTAAGTGAGATAAAAACTCCTCTGTGTGAGAGATTTTGATTTGCATTTTCTGTTACTTGCAGCCGAGAGCACTGTAAATAATAGAGTATCGAACACTTCTGACATATCAAGTAACACAAGGACTATGGCAGAAACTGACATTGTTCTCTGGCGTTTTCTCTCCCTTATTATGCAGTAATCAGATTCTTAGCTGCGCTATGGCCATGAGAAGATGTTCCGGCCATGAGAGAGCAGAAGGGACGTGTTCGTGCCTCTAAAGGGAGGGATCATGACTTCTGTTCCTGTGTGTCCTTTCTTTCTCTTTTTATTGGCTATTATGGACCAAATGCATTCCTCCAAAATTTATGTTGGAACCCTGACCCCCAATATGACTATATATGGAAATAAGACCTTTAGGAGTTAATTAAGATTAAATGAGGTCAAGAGTGTGTGCCTAGCATGCACAAGGTCCTGGATTCTATCCCCAGTGCCTCCATTAAAAATAAGTAAATAAAGTTAATTACCTCCCCCTACAAAATGTGAAATTGTAAAAAAAAAAAAGATTAAATGAGGTCATAAGAGTGAGACTGATCTGCTAGGATTCGTGTCCTTATAAGAAGAGATACCAAAAAGCACTCCCAGACCCATGTGAGTACACAGTGAGAAGGCAGTTGTCTGCAAGCCAAGAAGAGGGTTCTCACCAGGAACCAAACCTTGCCAGAGCCTTGATATTGGACTTTCCAGCCTCCAGAACTGTGAGAAAATAAAATTCTATTGTTTGAGCCACACAGTCCGTGGTATTTTGTTATGGCAGCCCGAGCTGACTGATACACTGGCTGAAATAAAAGCATGACAGCAGAGGATGGAGCAGCCATCTTGGACCATGAGAAGGAAGCCCTGGGTGGAAGAGCAAGAGAGAAGGAATCTGGGTCCTTCACAGTCATAAGCTCTGGATCTCCTGCCAGCACTTATAGGAGAAAGAGAAAAATAAATCTGAATATTGTTTAAGCCTCTTGTTTTCTGGTAGGTTATACTACTGTTCAGCATATATGCACTCTCTCCTCTTCTCTATTTATGGGAGAGACATACTTCCCCTGCCTCACTGACAGATAACAGGCTGGGCCATATGACTTGCTGTAGACAATGAAACATGAGCAGATGGGATATGTCATGACCCAGCAGAGGCTGTAAATGTGCTTGCTTAGTCTTTGGGTGTTCTGCCTTCTTCTCTATGAGGAGTGTGCCCCAGGTAACTACTCCTCCTTTAGCCTGAGTCCTGGAATGAAGGCCACACAGAGCAGACCTGAACCCAACCCACAGCCTGAAATAGAGGCCATCACAGTCAATGTGCAGAATCATGTGAGAAAAGTAATGTTTGTTGCAAGCCATTGCAATTTGGGGGTTGTTTGTTATATATGCTATCATAACAAAAACTGATGAATACAGGTTCTCTCTGTTGCAGTTTCAGTGGTCATACTCTAACTAAAACAAGGACTGAAAATTGTCCCTTGAATCTCCTGACATGGAAGTCACTGTTGACCTGAGGAAGGGTTGCTTCTGTGGCATGGTAAGGACCAAAGGCTGACTGGAGCTAGCTGAGAGGAGATGAAGGTGGGTGAGCAGACAGCTCTTTGGGGAAGTTTGGCTGTGATTGGGAGGAGAGGGTGAGGCAGTAGCTGGACAGGGGCGTGGGGGCCAGTGGCAGCCACAAAGGTCTCCCTCGGAGAAGAACTTGCTGATGAACTGTGAGGAATGCAGTCAGCTGACAGCCTCCATTTGTAGCACCTTCCAGATCTACTGCAGCCTTTGAGCCAAGAGCACACTATTCCCGGGCATCCTCAGCCGGTGATGAAGCATGGTAGGGATACTAGGGCCCGGCCATTTCTAGCCTGTGGACCCAAATGACATAGGTTGAAAGGGTTTTCTGTTGTTTGCTTTAAATGACGGAGACCAGAGGTTGCTTAGAAGCCCCACGCGAAGCATCCATTTGGGAAAGAGCAGCTGAATGCGGAAGAGAGAAGACGCACAGATGGAGAGAGGGAGGTCCCTGAGAAGGCAGAAGGAGATGGGGTCTGGACTGCGGGGGAGCAGTTCCTCAGGCCCCCAGGAAGGAGGAAGGAAGCAGGAGGAAAGGAGGGATGGGTGCAGACACGTGAGGGTGTGTAGGTTTGGGAGCAAGGTGATGGCAGACCTCTCACTAGAGAATTTTCTCTTTTAAGAAAAAAAAAGGAGTTTATTTATTTTTATTGGAGGCACTGGGGATTGAACCCAAGACCTTGTGCATGCTAAGCATGTGCTCTACAACTGAATTATACCCACCCCACTCCACTGAGAATTTTCTTTGAGAAGTGGGAAGCAAGATCAGGCTCCAGATTCAGGAAACTAAGTCCTTTGAGGGCCCATAGGCTGTGTCTCCATTTTCCTCTCTTGGCCTCAGTTTTCCCAGCTGCAGCTTGGATTAGACTCCTGGCCCCCAAACTTGTTTGATTCTCAGTAGATTTTCAAACATACACTCTTAGGGAGGACTCCATCCCTCAGCTGCTGGATCGCAATATCTGGGGCAGAAGTAATGGGGCAGGAATCTGTATATTTTTAAAGTTCCCCAGGGGTGATATGGATGCACATCCAGGCTTGGAAACCACCCTAGAGGGGCTCCAAGGGTCCCCTCCAGCTCTGAGGGTTGGTGGTTCTGGCCAGAAGGTACAAATTCCAGCACAGCACTTGACTGAAGCTGTAAACTACAGAGTAAGCCACCTGCCACTTCTTGTCACCTATAACTGCAGAAGCCCCAAAGTCCCACAGGTACCAACACTCAAGAAGAACCACAGTAAGGTGAAAATCAGTAGCAAAATCAGAGGCCCTGCCCACGTGGGAAGCCCACTGCCCGCACTCTGGCTCCCACGACCATGTTTCCAAACCCCCGAGTGGGACACGAGTCAGAATATAGTTAGGAGGCTTCCGGGCAAAAGAACTAAGGGATGGATCAGGGCTGTCGCAGGAGATCAAGGATGCTTTTGGCTGCCCTGCAAAGGGGTGGAGACCTACCCAGGCTTTTCTGAAACTTGAGCCCTGGGGTGGAGGGAAGGAGGAGGAGGAGGTGCGTGGCCTTGAGAGTCTAAGCCTGCCCCTCAACCCCAGTGCCTCCTCTGTCTGGTGCCCCTTCTCAAGGGTTGCTACAGAACTTGCAGGCCACCTCCACTCTCCCTTTGCTTCCCTCTGCCCCTAAGGTCGGGTGGGGACAGGCTGGGGCCACCAGCCAGCTCCATGGACGGGGACTTTGCCTCTGCTCATCTCCCAGCTTTGGAAAGAAAAGAAGAAAGGTCTGTGTTGCTCTGCATCTGGGGGATCCTTCCCCCTCCTAAACTTCTGGGGGCAGAAAAAGTGATTTGAACTTGGATTGATGACAGAAGAAGGGACAGAAGGAGCCTAGAGCATTACCCCAGGTATGAATTCTTCACTTTTGCTGGCGTGTGTGAGTGAGTGTGTGTGACGTGAGTTTCCCACAGGTCAGATGTGGAGTTGTCCTCGGTGATCCCCCCGGGCCCCTTCTGACTGCTTCAGTTTTAGCATTCTGCAGCCCAAACCTCCATTCAGTCATTCTACATTTCCTTAGTACCCACCCTGAGCCAGGTGCTACTGATGGAGAAAATCTGGTCCCTGCTCTCCAGGGTCCACTCTCTAGATGGGGAAACAGTGATCATAGTAAGAGCTACCACACTTATGGTGGGCCAGGCATGGGCTGAACCTTTTATAAGCTTGAGTTCATGTATCCTAGCAACAGCTGCAAGAGGTAATGGTATTACTAGCCCCGTTTTACGGATGAGGACAATGAGGCTCAGCTAGGTGAACTCACACGGCTAGCAAATGGTGGAGCTGATGCTCATAACCACTGTATATGCTGCCTGCCCTGCACTGTAAGGAGACAGTTCAGGGCACAAGGTGCACTACTACAGGGTGGGAAGGGAGTATGGGAGCTTTAGGGGGCCACAATCCATGAAGGCAGGGAACAGTTAAGCCTCATTTTGACCAAGCTTCCCACGGTGGTAGGCAGGAGCAGGCCTGGGGGCCAAGCTCTGAGCTGGAGGGAGGTAAGGCAGGCCCCACGAGGCTCACTGAGAGTTCTGCGGATATCTGGGACTTGAGGTCAGTGGGGGTCAAGATCAGGGATCCTTTTCCCTCACTCCTGGGCCACAGTGGTAGAGGATGGGGGGTTAGCTTCAGGATTTCCAGCCAAGTTCCCTAGAAGCTGTGTGCCCTCATACTCACATAGTAGAGGCTTCCCTACCTGGGAGGGCCAGTGTCCCAGCAGCAGCCTGAGAGGTGGGTGGCCCTAAGACCTGGGAGAAAGGGGCAGGCCCAGGTCATTATGGACCCCTCAGCAAAGACTGGACCATGGCTCCCCCTCCTCACAGTTCTCAACTCCCATCTCCCAGCTGTCCCCATGAGGACAAAAGCTGATTATTCCACTGGGGGCTGTACTGGGCCCCATGAATGGAGTATTGAAAACCTTGTGTCCACATCCAGATAGGTTTTCATCCTCTTCCCAATCAGACTGTTTGTATGCCAGGATGGAGGCAAAGCCAGGGAAAGATCAGGGGGGAGGGGGAGCATTCCTGCTGAGAGGGGCACCCATGTCCCCGGGCACCTCACTCTTGGTATATCCTAAACAGACCCATCATCTAAACCAGCCCCCATCTCCCCCCAACCATCCAATCATTGTCCACACGCTGGAATGCTGGTTACATGGTGTGAATTTGTTTACTGAGTGCTACACTTACAGTTTACGCACTTTTTGATTTGTATACCTCAATCCGAAATTGAAAAAAAATCATCTTCAAGGGCTTCCCACCTCAAAGGGGCAGAGCATCCTAAATGGCATTTATGGTCCCAGCCCTACAATATTGGGAATCCTGGGAACCATATTTCCTTGATTTATTTTTCAATTGACTCATTTTTTTTCTGATTTAATTTAACTTTAAAGAGAAACTTTACATTGCTCCAAATAAATAGAAAGCCAGGATCCTTTGCCATAAATAGAAATTTTTTTCTGTAAAAGAAAGAAGTAAACAAAAATAAAACAGTAATTGTCCATCCATCTCCCCCTAAAATTATGTGGGTTACCACCAGTGACAACAGTACCCTGCTTTGGGAAGGGCTGCCCCAGAGGAAAAACTCTGAGCCTTCAGCACAGCCGTGTAGACCTATCTCCGTTTGGGATCAGACAACCCTCCAACCTCATCTCCCATCACATGCTTTCATATACACTTTGCTCCAGCCAGACCTAACTCCTAATGAGCAGTTTCTGTCTGTGCTTCTGTCCTTCTCATCTTCCAGAAGTCTCCACTCAGAATACTGAACCCAAGTGGAAATGTCACTTCCCCCAGACTGAAGGTCTCCCTGGGCCCTTCCAGCTAGAAGAAGTGACTTGGAAACTTTAATTCCAGATGTTCCAGCTGTGACTTCTCCACCACCCCTTGATGGGACCATTGGAAAGGCCATCCACTGGCTGGATCCACAAGGAAGCAGAGATGCAAATTGGTCCCCAGCCTGATGAGAAGAGCCAGGGGTGGAGGTCCAGAGACAGGAGCACTGCCCCTCCTCTTCTCCCCCCAGCCCTGTCCTTCTTCCTCCTCTTTCCGCTGGGTGAGTGCTCTCCCCACCTCCCCGAACCTTCCCCTTTCTGGCTCTGTTTTCCCAGCTGTAAAATCATGGCAGGGGGTGGTTTGTAAATGAGGTGGTTTCCAACATTCATTCCAGCTCTGACATTTGCCCAGGGTTGATGAAGGCTAAGGGTCTGAGTTGGGAGAGTGGAAGGCTCAGTGCTAGAGGTGAAGGCTTAACACACACAGAGTATGGGCAGTTAGGAAATTGGAAATAGAGAAGGAGGGAAAAGGTGTGGACTCACCAGTAACTGGTAGAAAGCCAGCTGGTTGAACAGATGGAATCAAACAACTGAGGGACTATCCTAACATAGGAAAGAAGAAACAGGACCTCAGTTTCTTTATCTGTAAAATGAGTTCACAAGTACATGCCTCAGAGGTTGTAAGGACTCTATGAGGTAATGTATGTGAATATGTCAGAACTAATACCCTGTGTACAGATGAGGGGCTATTAAGGGGTTTTCAATCTCTCATGCTAAGCCAGTTTCCCTCTGAGGCCAGAACTGTGTGGTGAGGAAAAGTGTAGCTATATAGGTTGGAGTCCCAGCTCCACCCTTTATTTGCTGTGTGGCCTTCCCTCACTAAAACTGAAGTTTCTCCTTCCGCAAAATCCAACCTACCTCACAAGTTGTCCTAATGATGAAGGGAGCCAGGCCACACAAAGCAATGAGTGCAGTGCCTGGGATGTACATACATGAGAGCTGTAGCAGGCCTTAATATCGGTCAGTCTTTGGAGGGAAATCGTAATGAATCTCAAAGTTAATTTACGCACCTAAGGCAGCTCTCCTGAGCATCTGGGGAATAACAGGCTATAGGGGAAACTGAGATGAGACGGGCATGGCCACATCACCGGGCAGAAGGCCTGGAAAGGGGTGGGTATGTGGTTCCCAAGGATTCAGAGGGAAAAAGAGTGCACTTCCAGCTGAGGGCTCCAGGAAGGCTTCCCATTGGTGGGGGCTAGATCTGCAGGGCTGTAATGGGCAGGCTTAGTAGAGGAGACTGCCGAGTTAAAGACTTGGTGACAGATTGATGGGAGATTAAGAAGTAAGGTGAGGCTGGTTAGAGGATCCTGGTAGGCTTTGTAGACAAAGCTTAGGGTCTGGGACTCCTGCAGGAAAAGGGGAGTCTTTGACGAATTTAGCAGTGGAGTGAGATAGGTTGATCTGTGTCTCAGGCACAGCTCTCTGGGGTGGCCCACGGACCAATGGGTGAGGGATGAAGCAAGGAGGCCAACTGAGGCAGTCAGGGGCTTTGAAAAAGCAGGCTAGTCAGGAGGAGGGGGTAGGAGGGGGAGGACCATGGGGGGAGGAGGGGAGGCTTGTCCCAGGGTCAGCAGCCAAGGGAGGGGGCTGAGGGGCCAATGCTCTTCCTCACTCTGTTCCAGCCAGTGCCCTACAGCCCACCTCACTGCCCTTTCCAGGTAGGTGCCCCTGCCCCTCTGTTCCTACCCCCTGCCTCCATCCCCTGGTATGCAAATGCTCAGACAGAAGACCTCACGGAATAATGACTAACCAGCCCTCTATGACTGTAGGTGCCCCCCAAAGGGATTGCTCCAATCTCCCCATTTTACAGAAAGGGAGAAATAAGGCCCAGGAGGGACTGATCCCAAGGTGGGTATCCCGTAACTTGGGCCCAGTGATCCCTCTTGTACCAGCTCAATCCTCTCCACAGAGCTGAGGCTGGTGGGGGGCCCGAGTCGCTGCCGGGGGCGCCTGGAGGTCCTGCATGGCGGCTCCTGGGGCAGCGTCTGCGACGATGACTGGGACGTGGTGGACGCCAACGTGGTGTGTCGTCAGTTGGGCTGTGGCCTGGCATTGCCTGTGCCGCGGCCCCTTGCCTTTGGCCAGGGCCGAGGCCCCATCCTGCTGGACAACGTGGAGTGCCGCGGGCAGGAGACTGCACTGAGCGAGTGTGGCAGCCGAGGCTGGGGTGTCCACAACTGCTTTCACTATGAGGACGTGGCAGTCCTGTGTGATGGTGAGCAGAACAGGTTGTGATCTGGAAGGGCAGACAGACTGGCAGGCTGTAGGACTGCAGGCTAGTTACATGAAGGGACTGCCCAGCAGTGAGATTGTTTCAATGAAGAAGACCAAGCCAGTGACTGCAGTGCATGGTGCTGTCAGGAGGCTGGGCCCCTGCTGTGCTCTCACTAATTGCATGACCTCTGCTGAAAACCAGCATTACTACTTCCATTGAGGGTCTTGATTGTCCTAGCAGGGCCCTCTTCCCATTTTTAAAACCAGACGATTGGGTGTCAACACTAGCATAAGGCCCACTCAATATAAAGCTGCAACAGATCTCCGAGAGAGAGCAGTAGTTCTGATTTTCAAGAAAATCTGCTGGAGAGCTCAGTAAAACAGATTGTGGCCCCTTCCCAGAGTTTCTGATTCTGCAGGTCGGCGGAGGTCAGGGGTGGGAGAGGAGGAGAACCTGAGAATTTGCACCTCTAACAAGTTCTCAAGTGATGTGATGCTGCTTTAAGAACTAAAAGGGATCCTCTAAAGCAAACTCCTCTAAAGCTACTGCTTTCAGGAAGGGTGGCCCCTTCTCTCATACCCAAGAGTTTCCAGCTTTGACCTTTCATGTGGCCAGAGGCCCTGAAGGCAGGTACCTTAGGGGTCCATACTCTGCCCCTCATATACCTTTGCATGTGAGGAGGGAGATCAGAACAAACCATATCCTCCCTTCCACCCTGCTTCTTTCCCAGAATTCTTGCCCACACAGCCCCCAACAAGGAAAGTCTTAACTAGCAAGGCACCCCCTCCAACTCTCCAGAATGGAAAAGGTAAGTAAGGCCAATGTGGGGGACCACTTGCGTCTTAGGAGAGGGATCCAGGGAGGAATCTCCTACACCCTACCCTAGGCAGCGGGAAGAGAGGGATTACTGACGGGTGAGTTTGGTCATTCCCTCATCCCACCCTGTCCCCTGCACCCCCTCAGGCTGCTCACTTCTGGATAGGGAAAGAGGATTCATTCCAGTGGGATGATAAATATAGCATAAGGTTGGAGAAAATAAGAGAGGTGGGGGCTGGAGCTTAATCTAATGGGAGAGTCAGATATACATAGAATATTGATAATGATGTGGAACAAGAAAATGAAAAGTTCCCTTAAAGATGGACAGATAAAAAGGCAAGGAAGTTGAGATGAGGAAGAGCGTCCCATTCAACAGAAATCAGGCAGGGTTTCCTGGAGGAAGAGTTGTTAGTGCTGCACCCGGAAAGGTGAGAAGGCTTTCACTGTATTAGTAAATGAGGTAAGCAGCACATCATAGATGGTTAGGAGAGCATGGATAAGGCCAGGGAGGGTTGCTTTTAGGCAGGAAGTGACAGTTATAGGGATCTGTCCTCATATCTCACAAAGCACCCCCAATCTAAAGTGTGAGGAGGCTGTGCTTTTAGGGTAAGTGGGTGAGCAGCTCCTCCTGGGTTTTAGGTCCTGGGGCACCAAGCACTGTGGGTATGCAGGGGGCCTGGGGCATTGTGGGAAAGCGTTGGGTTGGGTGCACTTTTGGAAGTGCTAGGCAGCAAAGCCCTGTGGGAGATGCTCCCTGCTCCCCCCCAACTCCCCACTCCGTCACTAGGTGAGGGCAGCGTGCGCCTGGTCGGGGGCGCGGGTCCGTGTCAGGGCCGAGTGGAGATCCTGCACGGTGGCCTGTGGGGCACTGTGTGCGATGATGACTGGGGGCTCCCGGACGCCACGGTGGTCTGCCGCCAGCTGGGCTGCGGGGCGGCCCTGGCCGCCACCACCAACGCTTTCTTCGGCTACGGCACGGGGCACATCTTGCTGGACAACGTGCACTGTGAGGGAGGCGAGCTCCGTCTGGCAGCCTGCCTGAGCCTGGGCTGGGGTGTTCACAACTGCGGCCACCACGAGGACGCCGGCGCGCTCTGCGCAGGTGCGAGCTTCGGGGGTGGGGCCGGGGGCGGGGCCGGGACCCAGCGGGGACCGGGTTGTTGACTGCCTTCCCGAGCTCTCGAAAAGGGTACCCAAGTTAGTTTAAGTTTCTCGGTATTGCTCTAGAAAAAAGTGCCTCAGAAAATCCTAGTAGTCTCTGTGACAGAATACAAAGCTATGTAATACTGCAGTATTACCCCACTAAAACTCCGTAATTATCTAACAGTACTGCAAAAATGCCTCCAGAATTTTCTAGCACTTTCTAAATACTCTTCATGGAACACTTAAGAGTAAAGTGATAGTACTCTAGAATCTCTCCAGAGATACTCCAGAATTCGCTCACTGTAACCCAGGTATGTCCCCAGCAATACACAGCCCTCTGTAATCCTGCTAATCTTTTAATAGTATTTCCTCTCACTTGGACCCTCTCCCGCTTTGAGAGGTTTTCTGAGCAAAGAGGATAATAGGGCCAATAATGGCACTTCACAAATGGACTCCACTCTACCAGATATAAAGTGCTTGCCTATGCCTCACATCAAACCAGGGATCATTTTCCTCAATTCACAGAAGGGAAAACTGAGGCCCAGTGAGGCAGAACCTTACCAATGGTCACTCAGTGAGCCCTGCTAAAGCCTCAGCTAACCTTGCTGCATGGCCTTGGGCATGCTCATTGCCCTTTCTAGTCTTACATTACCTGTAAGATGTGAATGAGTTTCGTTCTGCAAGCCCCTCAGGACACACACAGCATGGTCCTCCCTGGTGAGACCTTCTTTGTCTTCCCATCTTGGACACACTTTGTGCTTCTAAGGACATTAGAGAGAAATGAAAGCACATCAGTGAAAGCCCTGTATAAACTGTCCATTGTACCTCTAGGCAGCACAAATAAATTATGAGAACTGGTAAAGTAGAGCAGACCTCCTTGGACCCGAGCTGGGGCTAAGCCCCCAGCTCTGGAAGTAAAATCTGTTGTCTTCTCCAAGGAGGAGACCCTTCCATCCTCTATGCAGCCCTAGGTTGACCAGGAACCAAAACCCTGGCCTCTGACCCTGCTTCCTTCTCTCCTACTCTAGTCCTGGGCCACCCGACTCTCACAGCACTAACACCCTCAGCCACAAGAGAGGACTGGGCATGGCACACAGAGCCAGAAGGTAAGGAGCCCAGCCCTCCAGGCTGGAAGGGTAGGGACAAGGTGGGCAGGGCTGGGAATTGGGAAGACTGTTCTGGATCCATGGGGAAGAGGCCTGGGCTAGCAGGCCAGGGTTTTTGGCCAGATGGTAAAGAGGTGGGTGAGAGAACAGATGAGCAGATGGAGCAAGGATGAAATCCAGAACTCTGAAAAGTTCAGCAGGGTGGGAGGAGGCAGTAAGAGATTTCTTCAAAACTGAAATAAAATTCAGGTTGGTGCTGAGATTGGAAATTGAGAAGCCTTGGGAGAAAGCTGAGATAAAAGTTGAATGAAGGATATAAGTACATTTGGAATTAGGGCTGGAACTATCATTGGGATTGAAATTAGCCTAATGCCTAGAAACAGGATTCGGTTCATTCCATTCAAGCTTCCTGATGACCCCCACCACACCAGACAACATGGTTACTCTAGGACTGAGGCTGAGTGTGGGGTGCAGGTGTGGTACATTCAGTGGGGGCATCTCAGTAGGCGCCCTGTGCCCTGCTGCAGGCCAGAAGGCTTCCCTGTCCTCTTTAAATGCTTTAGATGCCCTGTCTCCGCAGCTACAGGAGTTGGTGCCCTGCCTTCCAAGGAGCCAGCACTGTTCACCACAGCCGCCTGGGCCGCAGGGAAGAAAAGTAAGTGGCAGTGCCCGGGTTCCGTTGCGGGGTGGGACAGGGTGGGGCCGGGGCTCTGCCC